ATGGTGTCATGAGATTGGGCAGTTTGTTCTTGAATGAAGCAAAGACAGCTTTCTCATCATCGGACAGCTCTCTTAAGGAAGGTCATGGATTTCCCAACATGTACCTGATGATGACACATCTCTATTTAAAAGAAGAGAGACACCTGCAGAAGACATGAGCTTTAAAATTGATTTAAAGCCTGTGTTATTGCTTCCTCTCAGTTCCTGCATGTGCTAGGGATGGGGGCATATGATAAACTGCATCATGCCTCCTATCTCTGTGTGAGGCCTTTGGCATTTATGGAGATAACATCGCCAGTTTCAACTACTTGTGAGGCATCCTAAAAGCCCATGATACATATAATTTGTATCTCCATCAGGCCCAAAGCTCTGAAATTTTATCTTGTGCGTGGAAGCAAGCCTCCTATGCAGTGCGTAAACTGCCCAGCTACCTCAGTGTGATTCTGTTGTTCTTCCCATATCACAATTGATACAGCCCAGAACTCTTGTCCAGTGATCATTTGGTTCCTTGTGAAGAAATGGACCTGTACGGAAGTCACAGTTTGATGGAAAGGACAAGGGAAAGGTCTAAGAAAATGAAAGTTCTTAGCCAGAAAATATTTTTATAGAATTTGTAATCCTGGATTTTTAACCTCATTCACTTATTAAGAAGCTGGAAGAGTTACTTAAGCTTCTCCAATGTGCTTTCCTACACGTCATGGTGGATGTTATATGCTATAGTGATATTTAAGAATCTGAGAATTTGCAAGTTAAAAACTTTTGGGGTCATGGGCTTGGTTTTTCATTTTTGCTCTGCTTGGGATATCCTGGGAAAGAGTCCCTAGATTATCGTGCTGTTAAAATTATTTTTAGTACTCGTTTTGAGACAAGCACTATCATAGGCCCATAACATTTAAATGAGCAGTATTGAAATGAATGACATAAACAATACATTTATAGCATCGCTAAACTGCAGAGCAGCTTCATGTAAGTAAATGGGTATCCTTGATTAGAAAAAACTTAGAAATTAAAAGCATTAGGAGGCAATTATCCATATTGCACAAGAATTCCTCGCCTTAAGAGAGGGTTGGCTATAGGTTATGCGTCAGGTATGGGTGGTGTTTCTTTGGTTCTTTAATTGAGGTGGTTCTGCCAATTAAGTACAGACCACTCCCAAGCAGCTCTTCCTTTCCACCCCCATACCCGCCTCCTCTTTTCTTTTGGACTCCTTTCTTCCAATTCAATTAATTCCAAAGCCGGCATAACAACTGGGTGGGAAGGAGGAAGGAACTAAAATGTAGTAAGTGTCTTCACTATTTTACATACATTATCTCATTTAATTCTCACAACGCCCTCTGAAGTGAGGTGCTGCTAACACCCCATTTTGCAGATGATGCTCGGAAATATTAAGTAACTTGCTCTAAGTGCCACAGCAATAAGGTAGAGGGGCTTCCATCCAGATTTGTGCAGCTGTGAGCCCCGAGCTCCTGCAGTGCCCCCCCACCCCCACCCCATGGTGGGAGGATGTGGCCTGTTTGTGGTTGGGTGAAGGGCATTTCAAGGCCTTCCTCTTCCCCCAAGGACTGAATCACTTCATTTCATTTATAGTGATTCTCCCTGATACACTGAAAAATACAGTTCCATCAAGGAACACATCTATTGTATAAAGCAAGGAGCATCTGATTCCTTTTTTCCTATGTCTATGAATGCTAGAGTTCAAGGGTCATGCTTGTAGTAAATGCACTTCCAGAAAAACTACTCTTTTAACTCATGGCACCTTATTCTTTATTTTCAAAATAATCCCAGACATCTTAGCCAGAAAGCTATACATCTAGGCTATAATTTTAAATTTGTCACTATGCTATCCTTGTGAAAACTTTCAACTCAACTTTTCTTTTTCCCCTTAAATATGTCTAATACCACCATTACCTACTAACTGTGGATTGAAATAGCAAGTCATTATGATGCCTGAATTAACATCCAAAACACACTGGTTTTCTTCCAGGATTCTCATATCTATTATTGTTAAAACATATAACTTTTAAAACTCAAATGGTTTTCCCAAGCCAATTCTCTAATCACAGACATAAATTTCACTCCATTAAGGAAAGGAAACCAGGCAGTATGACTAAAGTTAGGAATATGATCAAATTTCAAGGGAAGGGAAAAAAAAAAAAGATTAGGCATGGAATTTTTTCCATTGCTTTTGCTTGCGAAATATGGTTAGAATAAACCCCTGCTTTCCTGCACACATAAAGTGTGCAGTCCTATAAAGTGAGAGGTTAGATTTAGGTATCGCTCTGATTTGGCAGGGCATTTTGCAGGGAGGCAGTATGTGAGTGCCGCCCACTTTTCTTTGGAATGGGGGAAGGGGTCTCGGGACTGGTGAGAGCCAGTAAGACAGGTTCTCCTCCTTTCTGTATCATCATAGGGTGGTTGGAAGTTACTCAGTTGCATTTTCTCCCATGAAATACCTGTTGCATATGTATGAGTCCTCTAAATAATGATGGTCCCCGAGAACTTGTGATAACTAGGCAGGCCTAAAGATAAGGAACAGGGATGTGTGTGTGTGGGGGGGAATCTAGCTCCACATGCTATGGATGGTAGATTCAGTGGTATTCTTTTGATTGCTACTCCTGAAAATACCTCAGCTTCTCAAGGGTTGCTTTTTAATGTTTATCAAGACTTTTTTTTTTTTAATAGAAGTCTCTTTTCAATCTCTTAGACCTGCTTTCTTGCTATTTTTAAAAACTCAGTTGTGTTCAACTATTTCCTGAAAATGTTAACTCTTCTACTATCTGTATTACTACCTGTATTAAGAACACGAGACAAGATAGTCTCCATGTTCACCTTCACCAACAAGCGCATGTTTCCTTTGAGATTGTCCGTAGGATGCAGGTTCTCGATTTCATAGGAATAGCCACATATATGTTTTAAAAAAATACACAAGGTAATATAAAGTAATTTTTTATGTTTACCTTATAGCTGAAATACATTTATATAGTTTGATTTTGAAATAGGTCATTATAGTTGGCAGAGAAGGTAACATTTTTTAAAGTTCTTCTAGTGAGTTAAAAAGGAAGACAAGCAAAGTTTATTTTTTAAATGTGCACTATTCTGGAAATGAGAATTATTAGAAATATACCTTTTGGGAAGCAAAGCAGCAACAAGTATTAAAATTTAAAGAAAATGACAACATATCCTACAACTCAGCAGTCTCACACTTGGAGATCTGTATCATATAAAAAATGCCGCAGTTATCATCAAGTGCCTCTCTGTTGTATCACCCTATTTGAATTTTTTGTTTATGACTTAATGGCATTATCTCCTATTCTTCTTGTCATTCGTTCATTCATTCATTCATTCATTCTCTTCTCCCATCAAAATATGAATTCTATGAAAACAAAGACTGTGTTTGTTTCCCTTATGCCTAGAACTCTAGCATCTAGCATAGTCCCTGGCACAGAGTAGGTCCCCATTAAAATCCTTTGTATGAAAGGAATAAAATACCCATAGATCAGGTTGTATGTTGAAGTATAGTTATTGAAATATTATTGTAGTGGCAAAAAACTGTAATCAAGAGGATGCCCATTAGTGAGGGACTGGTTGGGAGCCCCATCATGCCTGGCTAAGCTGAATCATGTAGAAGTTAATGGCATGGCTCTAGTATCAGGCTGTCTGAGCTTTAATCCCTATATTCATCTTAAATGTGTAATGAACAGCTTTGGGAAAGGTGTTAAGTTTCTATGGCTTAGTTTTCTTATGCATAAAATGAGGACAACAGCAATACCAATCTTGTAAGGTTTTTGTGAGAATTAAGTAACATAAGCAACTTACATGATAACAGTCCCTGGTACATAGTAAGCACTCAATAAATACGAATTATTCTTATTTCATGAACTCTTAAAGAAAGTGAATTAAATGTCACTTAACTTGGAGGAAGTTCCATGATGCACTGTTTAGTGGACAAAATATGATACAAAGAAGTATATGTAATGGATACAATGTTTATAAATCTAACAATAATAATAAAAATCCTATGTATATGTTTAATATGCTTAAAAAAGCATAAAATTACAGAATATATATAGTAGGTATATAAAGCTGGGTGCGTGAAGGGCAGGATTAAGGGGTGGGAAAGAGGAGACAGGAAAGCTGAAAGAAAACAAAATGTCTAAGTGATAAGAAATTCACATTACCAAGGCATTACCAAAACCATGATTAAAATTACAGAATATATGTATGTATGAATGTGTACGTGATAAGGTGCTTAAAAAGTGAGTCTCTAAATATGAATGGTGTTTGTCTCAGGGACTCCAGATAATTTCTTCCTTTATGTTTGGATATATTTTAATTTTTGATAACAAGCATGTATTATTGATGTAATCAGAAAAAATTTAGTATAAGGGAAAAAGAAAAAAGCAATATTTCTTTCTCTCTATAACTCTCTATGAAAGGAAGAGAGACAGCGTTTGGTTGGATGTGTCTCTCTTCTCGAGGTTCCAGAGCCTGGGGAGTTGTGGGTACCCAGTTTGGAAGGATCACTTGGCCACGTGGTCTGAGTACAGGATGGATTTAGTTTTCGGGAAATTACATGCCTGCTACCTCAATCTTCTGTTTTGGAAGGGTGAACTCAAATCTGAGGGATTATATGAACGAAAGGTGTAAACACAGGCAAATGGACCACAATGGAATCACAAATGCCCATATCCTCAAATAATTCAGCCATAGCAGGCTCTATGGACCCCAAATCTAGCAATTTTCTTAAAATTCCACTTTACTTTGTTCAAAACTTTGTTCAAAAACCCAATTACCTTTGTATCACTTTTAAGATAAAGTTGAAATTCTTAAGGCTGGTCTTCCAGAGTATCGATGCCTTTGCTAACTTTCTCTCCTAATATTTCTTTATATGGGCTTTCTGCTTTCATCAATGTGGTCTTCCAGCATCCACTCAAAATCTCTCCTTCCCTCATTCATGCCCTTGTCCCTACTTTTCCCTTTACTCAGCCCTTCAGCTGTGGCTCAAGTCTATCTTCCCTGAAAGAATTTTGAATTGTTCCGGTCCCAGGGACTTCTCTGCCCTGTTTTTCTGGTAAGTATATCATATCATTACCTTCACTACCCCGCTCACTTAGCACCCAGGGTGTACTTCCTTAAACAGTCATCCAACCTCATATGTAATTTTTCTCTTCTTCAACCAGGAAACTCCTCATGCGTGAGGCTTATACCTTTTCCTTTCTTGTATTTCCACAGTTCCTAATGCATCGATTTGGGTATAATTGGTGTGTAGTAAATTTTTTGCTGATTGATAGGTGTAATTTATTTGCATGTAAGCTCGTCTCTCTGGATCAAAATGCCCACCCAAACATGGAAAACAACTTTAAGAGCCTTTCAAACCTTGGGTATGTGTGTGTGCTCAGGGATAGGAATCAGTTTGTGATAAGAGGGATGAATGAAAAATGAAACTAAACAAGAGACATTTAATTTTTGAAAACTGGAACCTGAAATATTAATAGGGACATTAGTAACTAACCCTTTTATAGCTTTTATTATGAGCTAGTCTGTCCAAATACTTAACATATATTTACTCATTTAATCCTTAAAACCACCCTATGAGGTAGATACATTATTGTTAGCCCCATTTTACAGAGGATGAAACACAACTGATCTGGTTCCTATGCGTATTGAGTTTCTTTAAACTGTTTAATTGAAATATGAATTTGATGATTTTTGACTTGTAAATTGACCTCTATGGCTACATCTGTACAAAAAACAAAACTCACAGACTCAAGTACTTTGTAGATGTTATGACTATGATTCTGCTTAAGATGAGGTTTAAAAGAAATGAAGTTGGTTTAAAGAAAAATTAGCAAATATCACCCAAGGAAAGTTTTCTAAGGCGTACATGTTGTGAAGAAGCTATTTATGTGTAACCTGAGAATTCTGTCACTGCCTTTTTTTTTGGACGGGGGGGTTTAAAAGTCAGCATATAATTCCTAAAATAAATTTAATAGTTACATCTGGTTTCAAGCCAAAGACAGCTTTATTATCTACCTCATTCAAATGATCTTGGCTATGTATGATTATGATTTTACCCCCAAAGGCTGAAGATTTGCTATTAACAAGAGATGCTCAAAATAATTTTCTAATAGTCTCCAAAGGGAATTTTAAGGCAAGAGTTCCAAAGATGATGGCAGTATTTTGTTACTCAAGTTCTGGAAAGACCAAACCATTATTCCAAGGTGGGACAGTTCTTCAACGGCAGAGACAGATGAAGATCCAGGGCTTTTGACTCTACTCCACTGCATTTTCCGCTGAACTACACTACCACTAATGGTGTCAGTGACGACTTTTGGGCTGGCCCTGGAGGTAGCGTTGGGAGAGAAGAGAGCAGTCCTTTGGGAGTTGACATAAGGATGTGGTACTCTCCTTTAGGAGCACCAGGGGAGTATCAAAATGGTGAAAACTGAAAAATTAGTCAATCTTTGTTGTCTATTTAGCTTTTGTGTGTGGGGGGGGGCTAAAGAGATTGTTGGATTGTTGTTATGTTCCTCACTAAGAAGAAAGAATAATAACTTCTCATGAGCCAATCTTAAGCGTTTGAAGGCCCAGAAGCTCTCATCCAATTTTGTGGATCCATTTAAGTGTTTACTGTATATCAGGAATTATTCTAGGTACTTTCCATATATTACCTCAATTAATTCTCCCAATAGCCCATTGAGATGGTGACTTTTTGTATAGTTTCCTGTTGTACAGATGGGGAAGCCAAGTTGCAGAGAGGTTACATAACTTGTTGTAGTTTGCCCAAGATTACATTGCTATAAAGTAGTTGAATTGGGATTCAAATACAGAGAGTTGGGCTTCAAAACCTCAACAATTAACAAAATTTTGTTATTGAAAATTTCAAGCATTCACAAAGGTAGAGAGAATAGTGCAACGAACCTCCCTTTACCATCTCCCAGATACAACAATCATTAACTCATGGCCAATTTTATTCCACCTGTATCTCTACCTACTTCTCAGTCTCCCGGCCCCCTTCCTAGACTATTTTTAAGAAAGGGTAGATGTCCTACCATATCATCCATAAATATTTCAGTAAGTATTGCTAAATAAATAATGGCTTAAGAAACACGCTCTTTTTCATAAGATGGGCATAGTACTGTTGTCTCTTCTTTTTGTGACATTGGCAGCTTTGGAGACCGTTGTCTATATTTGTGATATTCTATTATTTCTTATTAGTTTGTTTGCCGGAATACTTTCCCTATACCAACTATTTGATTATCCTGATGTATAGTTTGCATGGGGAAAGCCAGATAGATGCTATATTCAGAAACACCTCTGCTGCTCTTTTTTTTTTTTTAAACTAGTCTCAATGAGTTGGTTTTTTTTTTTTTCTTCTTTTTTTTTTT